TGACGGTTTCTTTCTTGCTCTCCCTCTCTCTCTCGGTCTGTCTGTCTCGCTTCTTTGCTTCCACAAACTGTTGATTGAATTTATGCTCTTTTTTTCGTCTGTGTGTTTGAGTGTGATTTTTCTTCTTCATTTTCTCTTTTTTTCTATCTCCTCCTTTTCAACGTACATCGAGTATCTTCCATAATTTTACAAATATTCATATCCTACTCGACGCCAAGTCAATCTACGCAACGTTTGCAATGCAGCACCTTTAACACAATCTCCGTTGCGAGTTGACTGGTGGAATACATATTAACATATTGACAATCGATGTTATAGTGAGACATTACATCGTAGCTCGACAACTTCTTTACATTCATGGATGGCAACCATGACGCGCACACATGTACATGCATGCGCCAATTGGCTTTAAAGCCAAACCCATGCACAAAACCATTCTAATAATGGATCAAATACGATCAAAACTATGGAGAAAAAAAAACATATATAATTACCTTCTGTCTACTGAAATGGGTAAACGTAGTAGCATCGATACGATACGCATTCTCTTTCTCTATCCATATTTCGGTGCATGCAACGGTGTAAAACGGACAACGGCTCTCCCAACTGTATTCATGCCGATTCAAGTGATATTGTGAAGGAAATAATTGCGACCTCCCCGACGATCGGTTTGCCGCAGATCTGTTAGATTGGAAACATTATATTAATTTTGTTCCGCTATCGTTTTCTTTGTATTTTATTCCTGTTTGTGGCACATTACACAAATAATGAGAAGGAAAATTTAGTTTTAATTAGCTAGTCGAGATAATGCAAGTGAATTTCTTTTTTTTTTCTCAACCGGCGGCCGTTCGAATTGAATGCGTTTCAATATGAAGTCGATGGTCAGGAGACGAAGAAGAAGAAGAAGAAAAAGAAGAAATAGAAGCAAGAGAAGAAAAAGTGATATTTTAATTTTTAATTATTGTGAAGAGAAAACCCAAGAACCGCATCGTTTGGCTTTGGTTTGTCTGCATGATGAGAAGGTTCACAAACTAGAGCGCATTTCTTCCATTGGCTACTGAACAGCCATTGCTGTGTCATTATTCGAATTATTACGGCCACATCGTAAGCCATACGCATATTGTAGGCGTAACAGACACACACACACACACTCTCTCTCTTTCTCCGTGTATATCGTCTGCTGGTTAATCCCAAACATACGCATTTCTCCGCATCAGAGCATCATTATTTGTACTACACTGTGGTGTTTTTTTTTCTATTCAGACAAACGCATAAGATGGACTTGTGGCAACAAATTTTTGACGCATTCATCGATATATTCATAGTACATAACATGATTATTATTTTTTCTCATCATTTTCATGAAAACACTGCATTTCAATGTACTTATTAATTATCTCTTGCGGCTGTACAAACATTTTACGGGCAAGAAATATGGATAATGTTAATTGCTTTATCGGAATAGCCATCATTTATTACAATGTTGTGTGTATTTGAAAATCATAGCATTCGCATTGAACGTAGTATGAGGCAACGTGTTATGAGCAAACGAACACACACACGCGCTCACGCTCAATGAGATGCGATTTTGCATTTTAAATCATTTTCAAAAGGAAACGGCACACACAAACTGGTTGACATTTCAAATCGCCCGTGCGCGCTTTTGACGAAAGCAATAGGCCATTCTCGTTCATTCAATGCCTTGTTCAAATATTGAATTTCATAAAATAGAGTCATTTGTGATGTTGCCGATGGGAAAATGGCTGATGAATCAACATTAACAACAACAAACTGAAGTTGTGAATTCAGTTAATTCTCTGTAAATAGCAATAATTTGCCAACGCTCTCTCAGGGAAAATATGTTATGCACATTGTGAAGCCGAGCGGAATTATTCTGATCTCGACTGAAGAAGAAAAACAAGAAGTGAATTTAAAAAAAAAACGTGGAATTATCTAATGCAGTTTGAATCGCTTTCAACGTGAAGCATTTATATGTATCATTTGTTTGCATATTTTATCGTGATTCAAAAGATATCGATATAAATGATTATCATTTGAGTGAAGCTGAATTTACATACGATCATATCGGAGTTTTTCGATTTAGAGTTAAAATGTTCAACATTCATTTATTTGGATTTGTGCTGATATTTTGAGCCGCCATTTCAAAAACGTAACGTAATTCTTTTTCATGTATAACCAGATTCTAATTATTATTGCCATTGATCTCACAGCATGAGTGAGAGTGAGCAGGAGATTGGAATGAAAAAGTCAACATATATCGCTCTAGTGCTATTTTTTTCTCGAGAGAGAGAGAGAGGGGGGAAAGGGAATTGTAGGAAGGAACATATTGGCTTTTGGTCGACAAATGACTCTCCTTTTGATGACATTTTATTCAAATGTATACATGTATATGCTCGCCCTTTAAATATGTTTTTGAAGTGAACTGCCATTTGATTCTTTTCATGTGTTTTCCACCCTGGCACTTTTCAACAAAATAGGTTGCAGTCTCGCGCACAAAAACAAAAACCATGCTGCTACTGCCGCCGCCACTGCCACTGCTGTCGCTTCTACCATCGAAAATACAGCAATTGTCAAGTAAGAGTGGCACAGCGTAATTGTACGGGAATAAACAATTTCTCAGCTCAAGTGAGCTACTTATTACCAACGTTTTGTGTGTCCAATGAGCTGGCTTCTTGTTTTTCTTTGGATAAAACACCACTCAGCGCCCTATTTCTTTCTTTTCCCGCTCCTTATCCTTCTCTTTCTCTCAGGCTCTTTTTTTCTCATCTCTCTGTGGCGCGATTCGCGCAGTAAATTCATTCATTATATATCATTCTTGTTGTTTGTTACGAATTCATGTGAATGAGCTGGGGACAAGTGTGTGCGGCAACCAAACTTACTCGCTCGCTCTCAAACGGCCGGGATGCAATGAAAGACAGAACAAGAGCGGAAGTGTACGGCTTCAACGGTATGTGCGCGCTCATCGAGCACACAAATCGCAGTATAACAACAAGTAAACATGGGCAATGAATGACTGAACAGAAGAAGAAAAAATAACCATATATAGCGATTGTGGGATGTAGTCAATGCCGTATGAAGTGGTTGAACGATTGTGTGTTGAGTGATGTTATGGGGCCTTATTATGCAAAAGGGTTCAAACCATTTGCACTGGCATGAACACACCAAATTACATGCGAAGAAGAAGAGAAAAAAAACCACATCGGTTATGTTAAGGTTAATCGTTTGCCTTTTGCCATCAGAGTTGGCGAGTGAGTGCACGGAGGAGGCAAGGGCAATACATGAGAGCAATACTCAACCAAAGAGGCATCGAATGCATTCGCACACGTATGCGTTTCACTTCGGTTTCATTGCGCCGGGGCAATTTCATTGCAATGCCCAGAAAATGTCGCTGCTGATTGTTCAACAACTCATGCTTGTTTCTGTCTTCTCTTGCTTCGTTCGGCCTCTTTTTTTGTCAACCATTATCTTTTTTTTGTCAACTACTCGTGGAGCTCTTACGATGATGGCTTGAAAGTAGTCAAATTGACGTTATACTCAAAAATTAGCCTCAAGCACGGAAGAAATTAGTATGATCTCCTTATTAACGTCAAAGTTTTCTTTTCTGTGCTAAACATTTCCCGTTTGCGACGTTTCATTCCTGGTTTCCATCCAATGCAAGCATTCAATTCGAATGACTTCACCTTTTTTTCGGTTCAAAATATATTCCATCATGTTTGCTTGTATGGAAAGTGATGTCGATATAATAGGAAGAATCAGTTTATTGGCAACGGACTTAACGGTATTCCGTTTCAATTTGATTTTCATCCATTTTATTTAGACAAATTTCGAATGAGCTCCGTAACACAATAACACATCACAAAATAGACAAAATGTGATCGGAACCATAAGCGACGGAAAAGTTAATGGTCTTGTATAATGTCTTTTTGTGCAAATGACATCAGTACGCGCGCGGATTCCAATAAAAATTATTTTATTTGCTTTGGCACACAGTGCGTACTGAATTGTCTTTGTGTCTGTATTTATGCACGTACGTCTACGTACATCTTTCATCGCATTTGCAGATTTTCAAAACCAATCATATTCAACGAACACTCACCGATCATGGATGACAAACGGACGAAGAACAGATACAAACAATAGCTACAAAAGTCGATAAAAACTGGCAAGTTGAAACGTTCCCAGTCAACATCATAATATTTTTTCCCATTCTGTCGTTCTCTCGCTTGTGCTCGATAGCACACAAGACAATTATATTATTTATGTATTTGCCTCGATTTGATTGGTTTCGAAAATATTGCTGTGTCAAACATTTTCCCGTTTATGACCCGTGAAAAATGTGTCTTTATTCGAATGTCGTCTTTATTCGATCGCACAATGTAGCAAAAAAACATATGGGTTGTTGAATTGCGCTTCTTCGTCTTGTGTTTTGGAATATATTGGTATTTGGCCCAGTTTATGACTCGCACCACATTTGCTTTGTTTTACGTTTTTATCTCTATCTCGTATAATTTTTGTGTTTTCGCGCAGCAAATGGTGCTCGCTCTCTCTCTCTCTCTCTCTCTCTCTCTCTCTCTCTCTCTCGTTGGATCGCACGCTCCCGATAGAATTGTCTCGAAAATCAAACGAAGTGAATGAACGATGGGGACAGAGCAAATTTTGTTGTTTTATTGTACGCCATTTCATAGATTTTTGTTTTCTGCCTCACACAAACAAACCAAACGCCACATTCGTTGAGTGAACGATTCTTTATGCGAATGGATATAAATCCGTTGATGTCATCTGCTTACTGGAAATCGATGAATTTTCTATATATCCATTCCTTTTTCATTTTTATTACAACTGATTCGATTTATCGTTAAATTAACGGCAATTCGTTTCGAATGCCTTAATTGATTGGAATTATTGGAATTGTTAAATATGATTCGTGTACACTTTTTCATTACCACCTTTTTCTTCTGTTTTTTTTTCTTGCTTCACAGGGACTTGGGATTGCATGCATTGCAGAATGTGGGATTGTTTGACCCGAACGCACTTATGCATCACAACCATGAAGATATTTGTAAGAATGCGTTGCATTTATCGAATGAGCAGCGTCGAATGTGTGCTCGCAGTCCACGTGTATTTAGTGTAAGTTGAAACCATACGAAAGACTTTTCTGCCATTACGCGAAAAGAACTTCAACGCGAAAGCAACGAAAGAAAATAAAAATTCGTTCAAAGCAATTTGCTTCAACCATTTTGTTTGTTCTTTAATTAGGCAATTGTACAAGGTGCCAAAATGGGTCAAGAAGAATGTCAGCATCAATTTCGCAACAGTCGCTGGAATTGCACAACATCACAACCATCGTCTGACCTTCAAGACATCTACGGCGATGTAATGCGCATCAGTAAGTTTCGCGCACAAATTGAATAAATAGCCCAGAACACTCGATTGCGTTGAAATAACGGAAAACTAATATTGGTATTCTTTTCTTTTCTCTCTTCTCGCACGTTGCAAATTGATTGTTTGGCGCGGCGTGCAGAAAGCCGTGAAACCGCTTATATACATGCAATCAATGCAGCATCGTTGGCATGGTCCATTACACGTGCTTGTTCCCGCGGCGATTTAACCGAATGCTCATGCGATAATACGATTCGACGAAAGCAACGCAAATGGCAATGGGGTGGCTGCTCAGAGGTATGCTACACTAAATCAATCACGATAATCAAGATCATTCATCTATAGAACATAGATAATAATAACGATAAAAAAAAACCACGTTGTGGCCAGGTTTTCTGCTTCTCATTCATTTCAATTGATCATTATCTGTTCGTAGGATATCAATTATGGCGTATTATTTTCGAGGAAATTCATTGATTCACAGGAGAGTAACGAAACCGCCGCCGGTTTGATGAATTTGCACAACAATGAGGCTGGTCGTAGGGTGCGTATTTTGCCGGTACGATAGAAATTTAACTGTATTAATTAAAAATTCATTTTCTTATGTAGGCACTGAGATCACGAATGCAACGCGTTTGCAAATGCCACGGTGTATCTGGTTCATGTTCGATTCGTGTGTGCTGGAGACGTTTGCCAGCTTTACGTGCTATCGGTGAAGCACTGGGTCAATTGTACGATGGAGCATCGCATGTGAAGGTAATTCAATAGCATTGATGGCTCGCAGCGTCATCGATCGAATCGCCTTCATTTTGACTCTTTCGGTTTTTGTGTCGATATCGTTTCAGTTGATCGAACGTGATGGTCGCGTATCGAAATTGCGTCGACGTGATCCGCAATACAAAAAGCTAATCAAATCAGACCTAGTTTACTTAGAAGACTCACCAGATTACTGCGATCGTGACGATGAGTGAGTGTTACTGATTGCATTCAATTTCAATATACCGTGTTCCACTTCATTTTACTTGTTCATGCTTTTTTTGCTGTCTAGATTGGGTATATTGGGTACAAAGGGCCGATTGTGCAATCGAACATCGCCCGGAATCGATGGTTGTAAAATCATGTGCTGCGGTCGAGGCCATCAAACCCGAATACGGTTCGTCGAAGAGAAATGCAAATGCCGTTTTGTCTGGTGTTGTGATGTCAAATGCGAAATGTGCAATCACCGAAGGGAAGAGCACATCTGCAACTAAGCACATTAGAAATAGGAAAGCCAGTACAGTGCTATTGCCCCAGCCCCGAATCATTCATAGAATATACACACACGCACATCGAACAAAGAAGAAAAAAAGAAATCAAACAAAGAATAACCACATAAACCCGATTCTTCTTTTTTTTTGTATTTGGAACATAACAAATAAGTAAACAAGTCCAGTCCAGATGAGTAATGTGAAGCAGATAGATGTAGTATGGGTGTGTGCGTGTGTTCGAAAGCACATTTTAATATTTATTCATAGCCATTTTTACCGCCAACGATTTGCCCCCCGTCGAATAGAAAACCCTTTACTGAATAGAATTTAGCGATAAGTGTAGCCAGTGACAAGAGTAGACCGTAACAATAACAACAAAAACGAGTATTAAAAATTATCCGTACATATTGTAAGCTCAAAGTCTTAAACTTATTTATAGAAAAAAACACGAACACACATTTTTTTTTCACCTAAAAACAAAGAACAACAAGTAAACATTTGCTGCCAACGAATATTAATATGATTGCAGCAAATCAACCGTGGGTATTTATTGATAAATTCTTTTAGCTCTTTATTTTGTATTTATTTATTTACAATCTTGTTCAGCTTCAACGATGATCAAATAGGTATAATCAGTCATTCTAACGAAATTCATCGACTGATTATATTTTTTTGTTGTTTTTCATTCATTTTTTGCTTTGTTTCATTCACTATTTCATTAAATTAATACAACAACTTTGTGTTTATTCATATTCAATAATTCTTACATTTTAGTGTTGTCTCATAAACCAAAACGAACACGAAAATTTTCCTATGGAAAATTTTGTAATTTATAAATTTTAATTTCGTTACAATTTTTTTTTCTAGATCGATAACATTTATGTTTAATTTAATTTAATTAAATTGATAAAAAAAAAGAAGAAAAAAATATAAAATGTGTATAAATGTATGGTTAAACAAAATCAATGAACACAATTCTTACATTGTAATTGACAGCTTGACGTAAGGAATAAAAAATAAGAAACAGATAGCGGTGATACGGTAATAATTTTCGTTTAAGATCACTTCGATTGGATGTGGGAAATTTTTACAATTTTAAAATTAATCAATTATGATTTATTAATGATCAATTATTGATTTAAAAGAACTTTCGTTTTTACAAACAATTGCAGAACAAACCTAAAAAACAAATACATTTTTCGATTAACGGGCATTTTTTTCAGAATATTTCAAATTTGAGACAATCCAAGAACAGAAATGTCTTCAACATTCAACGAAAAAAAAAAATTGAGCTCAAATAATCGCTGTTTCATTTATTTCGAATTAAAGGCCAAAATTTCTCTTAATTTCTATTTTTTGTTCACAGTAGTCATGAATTGTTAATATAGTAAAATGTAAGACAGGAAAAAAAACATCTTTTCCCAAGTTTGCTTCCAAATATGAATTCAAACCTATTTGATAAATGATGTAAAAACAAATATTCGAACTGCTTTCAACGAGAAAACCGTATGAAGGATGTGAACCCGATGCTATTGTCTTCAAATAAAATATACAAAACCAAATGGAATTGAGTTTGTTTCCTTATAAATTATAAGTTTCATTGTTCGATGACTCATCAATTAAAAACTTTGTTTGAATGGCAACACATTGAACGGTCTCAATTTGTTGCAATCGATATATGGATTCTCTTTCGAAATTGCAACGAATCCCCTCCGTGGAACACGTCCAATATCGGTTGTCATGCAAACCAGCCGTGAGAATGTCATTCGTCTGATTTCATGCAATTGATCTGTAAATGCCGAATGTGTGTAATTAGTTGAAATTGGGTAAAATGGGCAAATTAATTGATTCGATTAGAAACCTGCTGAAAAACTTTGTGGATTTTTGCGATGTGAATAGAAGAACCGATCACCATATTTAAACCGATAAAATTGTTCAGCAACAAGACACCCGCCGATTTTACCGATAAAATTGCCACGTCGTTTCTCCAACAGTATACCGACCATTAGTTCAATATCGTTCACATTTTTATACAATTGTCGCAGTAATTTAAAATGGTCTTTTTCAAAGTAAGGCTTTAAATCTTGCCACGATTTAATTTTCTTGGATATGCACATGGGGTAGTAAGCAATGTATGGAGCAGTGCCTGAGTCACGACTTCGCATTATGTCCAGTATCATACCATCAACACCAACATCTTTGCCACGATATTTCGTTTTTATAAACAAATTTCGGACCTGCGAAAACATATTTCAAATGGATTAAGGTTAGTTTAAAAAAAAAAGACTTTTGAAAAACTTCACCTCTCCCGTGTAGCCCACTCGATTCATTCTTTGTTTTTGTTTCATCATTCCGCGTAAAATCGCATTATATTTTTCTTTGAGTATATCCACCGTTAAGTAAGTATTGGACAAGGGTATTTTTTCCAAAAGTGCACCACTATCATTGACCACATGAATGTTCGACGGAATATTTACATGGAAAAATCTGAATGCATTCATCGCATATTCTATCGTTGTTGTGGCTTTGATATCAGGATCATATTTATCACACTTTCCTCGGCACGTCAATTTGTACGAATGGCAAAGTCGATCGCCTGAAATTTGAAATTGGAAGCATTAGTTTTGAATGACCAAAGTGTTTAGTGTGAGAGATATAACGGAGCTCACTCCGTTTTACTTCAAATATAAACCTAAGACTAATGGCAACCAATCATAATAGATAATATGCTGATAATATGCGATGACAATACGTCTTGTCTCAAAGAAGATATCGTCATTGCTCCAGTGTGGATTGACTGCGCCCAAATTGGTGGCAATGAGATTGTGAAAGCGATAAAATAACGAGTGTATCTGTCCAAGTACAGGAGTCTGACCGAATCGAAAGTCACCGGCGGTAAATTGGCCGGTCGTATCCACAGGCAAAATATTCAATGGATCCATTTTAAATAATCCACCATAGTTCTCTCTTAAACCCTTCAGCTTGTCGTATGAGTTCGAATAAATGGTGTTCAAGTCCAAATATGATGACACAATATTTTCCTATTTAAATCAATCGCATCAAAAAATCGACTAGATTGGGTTAGAAAATTGATTAGATCAAAAAGGTAGATTACGTGTTCATATTTGATTTTGCAATCGTCTTTAAGTGTGGGCTGCATTCGAACATAACTTTGGCAAAAGATTCCTTTATTCGAGTAAAATGAATCATTTCTAGGCAACGGAATCGGTATACAGCTGGGGTTTATTTCATTTGGTGGCAATGGACTGGAATACGATGACTCACAACAACTTATTCCATTACTGTTGTTGCCTGTAAATAATTCAATTTATTATTGAGTTCTCCCGTACGAAGCGGAAAATCCAACTTGGTAAGATAGCTTTGACTAAAGTGAGAAAAAATTATGAAAATCCTCACCTCTCATTGTGACCACTTTTCGACTGGACGTATCGTGAGCAACCATTTGTGAAAACATGATGCCAACAAAATTATTTGTTTGATCACCGCATTTGACGGTTTCACATTTGAAATCACTGGCCTCATTTATAGTATTACTCAATGATCGAGCATTTGGCATTTCTTCATCATTTGCCGTTCGTCGAAATTCGCTTATACCTGGTGATTGGAATAAAAAATTGATTTTGGGGAGAATATTTTAAAAATTATGGCATTTTTATGGATTTTAAAACATTTTCACCGTCTGCATATCTTGCTTCAAGGATTCGGCCATAGGGTGTGTTGGCCTTGCCAATATTAGGATATTTCAAATTATTACAAAAACCGCCGACTCGACTATACCTAGAATTAAAGTAATTAATTTATATTCTTTGAAACTAATTCTAACCATGTAATGATTTTCAGCTTAATTATAGACAATGTCCATTAGACAATTGCCCTACTTCTCATGTGGGTTGCATGCGCCTTTTGGCAATTCACATCGATCTTCTAATGGAATATGTTGTGCTGCTTCATGTAAGCAATTTTTATACGTTTTTCGCCTGCATTGACCGTATCGTTTAACCAATCGTTGATATTCCAATAAAACATCTGCTTTCATATTCGATTTTGATGGACCGAAAACCTCAATGGCAAAAATGAACATGTACTAAAAATTGGATTTGAAAGAATTATTTTTTTAGAGCAATTTTCAATTTTTAAAATAAAACCTCTTTATGTTTTTGGTATAACTCTTCATTGGTTTGGTTCTTTTCAGCCGCAATTTTCTTCGCCTCCTCGTATAGATCGAGTCCACAGCAACTAATTACCAATTAGTTACCAAATTTATATATTTCGTGTCAATTTTATAGAGCAATTTGCCAATATTCCTTACCCACAAATTATTACGTGTAAAATTAGAAACGTTTTAGCAGCAAACATTTTGACATTTTCAAAACATTTTCAAGTGCTAAATGTGATGTGAGGCTTATAATTTATCAAACCATATTTTATGTAAGACCAAATTCTCTGTAGTGATGGTCAACAATTTTTAAGCAACTATTTACACAAGTGTTCATACGTTAGACTGAATAGAGATGTTTATCTTTCATTTTTATCAGATGACATTATTATAGCGTTTTTTTCACGAATCAGGTTCAGGCCTAGTTGGCAGCAACTATATGTTGGATCTTCAAAACAGATTTATATTCGAATATTGAATCGGTTTCACGAGTTTATGGAAACGAATTTTGCGATGATTTTACATCAAGTAAAAACTGTTTATTCATATCCAATAATGCCCATACGCTACATGTATGTTGAACCAAAGCGAACACGAAAATGTCCCCAATTCGTCTCGGTCATTCATCTGAAAAAAAAATCAAATAATTCCAAATATTCTCTTTCTGTAATTAAATCAGGCAAAACCATCGTTTACTCTACTAATTAATAACAAGTTTATTTATTCGGATGAGTTCTGTATTGACATTTCAGGTAAATTTGTAACGGAATATATAAAAAAGAATAAATATTTTATTGTTACCAAGTAAACTGAATGCTCGATATTTTATTGAATGTCAAAATGCATAATCAAAATTAACAGATCTTTCAAAACGGTTTCATGATTTGAGGATAGACAAAAAATTGTTTGTGATGTTAAATAACCAAAATTTGTTCATTCGGATCATTTCAACGGTACGTCAATTGGAATTATTCTCCGTACAATATGAATTTGATGAAAAAAAAAGACTTAAAACTACGAAACACTAACAAATCAAGAGAGTAATGCAATAAAAAAAGAGAGTGTAAAAATGTAAATATCGAGATGAAGTAATTTAAATGAGGAAAACGATGCCGTCGGCGACCATAATTTGATTTGCTTCAGACATTTGTTCAATGGCCGCATTCACTTCCGCCGAGCTGAATGGTTGGTCAATGTTCTGATTGATGGCTCCCGTGAGTGCTTCCACAGCTAATGTTTGTTCTCGTACGTCGCGGAATGCTTGGTTCAATTTCTGTTTGAAGACCAAAAGACGTTCTTGACTGATATAATCAGGTGATGGGGCCGTTTCCATGGCTGTTGATCCTTCGCTCGATTGTTGTGTTGATCGGCCAACCGATTTGCGTGTGCTACGTTTTGTTAAATCACCAGCATCAACTGGTTGTACCACGGGTGTTTCATCCATTTCTTCTGTGTCCATCGTTTCGCTGGCGTCGGTGGTTTTTGTGCGTTTTGATTTACGTGTACCCTGTGATGGTTGTGATACAGTATTGTCATCGTCATGATCATCATCTTCTCCATCTGAATCTTCGCCATCTTCGCTGCGCCGACGTTTGCGCTTCTCCTTCTCAAGCACCTTCTTGAAGTATGCGAATTGAACGAGTTCAATGGCTGCTTTGGCATCAGTGACCGAAATCGTTTTGGCCATACGTGCTTTGGCATGAGCCGTTGACAAACGAATCAACGTTTCCAATGTACGAGCGGTAACTGGTTGTGTTCGTGCCATATGTGAATCATCAAGGTCTTGTGAACGCAAACGTGAGTATTCATTGGCAATTACATCGGATGCTTCTTGTGTTAGACGTGGCTTTAAGCATTTGGCCAGATGAATGTACTTGCGCATGAACTGCACGGACAACACTTGTTCGGAACGTGTACGTGAATCACCGTGCAATAGAGCATCGTATTTTTCGAAAATTTGCATCTCTTTGTTGCCTTCGGTTTCGTTTTGGAGATTGAATGTGGTCAAAAACTCCGCATAATTACCACCCATGGGCAAAATTTCACCGTCTTGCTCCTTTGGATTACGATAACGATGCATGCGAACGACAAAGTCTGCAATGCGTTGATCGTTGTCATTGTCGATAGTGTCCAACATCACGAACAACAAATCGAAACGCGACAACAGTGAATCCTGTAAACCAATATTTTCCATTGGCGTTTTGTATTGGTCGTACTGCAAATGAAAATGGAAATGGATTAGAAAATTTTTTTATAATTCCGAAAACCACTATAGAAATTGACCGAGTGAAAATGAGATTTGAAAAAATAGCTTACTCTTCCATAGACTGGATTGGCGGCGGCCAGGACGGAGCAACGTGCATTCAATGAGGCGTGCACACCGGCTTTTGAAATGGTAACTCGACCTTGTTCCATGACTTCGTGAATGGCCGTACGATCGATGTCGCTCATTTTATCGAATTCATCAATGCAAACGACGCCTCGATCGGCCAACACCATAGCACCGGCTTCCAAACGTCTTTCGCCGGTCTCTTGATCAGTTGTAACAGCTGCTGTCAAACCAACACCACTGGAACCACGACCGGTCGTTGGAATTGCTCGTGGAGCTGTGTACAAAACGTAACGCAGGAGCTGCGACTTTGCAACACTAGGATCACCAATGAGCAGAACGTTTATATCCCTGAAAGATGCAAAGAATTGGTTGCAATGAAAATAGAATCAGATTTTTCATTTTGGTTCATGTCAAATGACTAAGAATAGAATAATAATGATCCTTACCCTCTCAATCGTGTTCCGTTGATTAGAACTTTTTCAACACCACCCAAAAGCAAGCATAGAATGGCCTTCTTAACATATGCATGACCGTGAATCGATGGTGCCAAACTCTTTGCCAACAATTCAAAGATGTCATTGTTCTTGGCCAACTTTTTGCACTGAGCCACTTCTTCGCGTGAAATATTCAAGTTGCTCTCTTTGTTCAGTTGTGAAATGTTGTTGGCAATGACCACGGTTCGGAATGTACCGGTCGTGTATCCGCCACTTTTGCCGGGCAAACAACGATAGTTGCCAACAATTTGTACACGATCGCCTGGTTTGCATTGATCGACCAGATCGTCATCGCAAACAATGTCAACTGCACGCGGTAATTGACCGGCCGGTGCTTTTTCGGGCATTTCTTGAATTGTTAACGTTTGATGATCCTTGTACACCGACAATCCATATTCGGTTTCCAGCAAATTGCCATCTTCGTCTTTGGTTGGGTACACAGCACTACTTGGCACCGCTTCGAATGACGTTAAATCGGTGTATTTGCGTTCGATTGTCTTCTTTGTCTCTGGACAAAAATGAACACTTCGCACCACCTTTGGCCGCACCAACGACACTTTCGTCACAATACCCTCCACGCAAACCAAATTGCTCAGGAATCTAAAGTAATTATACACACAAATCAGTTGATTGTTCTTATCAAACTATTTACATTCACTTTTAAAATGAAATTTTGTGGGAAAAAAGCAAATCTGGAACGTTTTCTTTCAAAATCGACTTTAAAACTTCTTATAAATGGCTTCATCTCTCTTTCCATCATAAGATATGTAATTTGGCATAAAAGAAGAAAAAGAATAAAATTCTGCGGCTCTCACCTGGAATTCAGTGTACGTGGTGTAACGTGACGACTTCCGAAGCTACCCTCGAAGCCAACGAAAAAATCTTCGTATGTTTTGGCAAAACTTGGCTGAAGCGTCGATACATACTCCTTCAATGCTCTGGAAAAGGCCAATTGTTCATCAAAAGCATTGATCAACAGCGATGCTGCACGGGCCGGATTTTTCTTTCGCAAATCATTAATATTAACAACGAGGCGCTTGGATTTCTCAGCAATCATATCCTTTACTGAGGCCATGTATGTACCCTGATCCTCCTGTAAATATTCAACAAACACATTTTATTAGCAAACAATTCTTTCATCTCATGAGCCGTATTTAACCAATAACTTTTCGAAAAAAATTGTTATTGACGCAAAAAAACAGCGAGTTCAGTTTTGTTAGTGAACAACATGCTGTTCGAATAGTAGCAATTGAACATCAATTGAAATTGGTTATGAAAAATCTTACCTCATCGTCCAAAAAATCCAAGTATTCACGTTGAATATCACGAAGTCTTTGCTCTTCATCGGCCATGACGATTTAAATATTTATTTGTTTGAATTATTTTATGAAGAAAAAGAATCAAACTGAGCAAAATTTCCGAATGCAATTCAAATCAACGCTTGTTGAATATGACATACACAAAAATAGCGGGAAAGTATGAACCAACATGAAGTTGGATGTGCACGATGCACGAATTATAGTATTGCCCTAAACGAACTAAGCACATTCAACACGGACTGAGTCAATTTCTGTTCAAATTCTATTCAAAAGATGAAAATCTTTTTCTAATTCACAACGTTATTAATTTGATGAATTAAAATAAAATATAAAAAATGGTTTACACTGAAATTCTCACGGAAATTTCTGTAATAATTTCAATTTAAAAATTGTGGTTTTGTTATGGGCTTAATTTCGATGTGTGATTGTATAGGTATTTGACAGCTTGCGTGACAGTTTCCATGTCGTGCCATTTCTGTCATTGTGTTTCTTTTTTTTTATTGATAATTTATTGTGTGTGATTCTCCTTTGGACCTAATTGAATTGTTTTCAAAAAAAAATAATCCAAGTTTTGACGGGGCAGTATTAAATGAAAATGGCTTATCTTCATGATGATATGAGTTGGTCAGGTGAGTAAAACTACGATTGAATTGGCAATTGCCCGGATTTTATTCACTGATTGAGGCTAAACAAACATTTAATTATGATGTGTCATTGGGTTGTTCAATAAAATAGCTGACAATAGTTAATTGGATGCATTTAATTTTTTTTTATTTTCGTGGCAGAGGTTCGTGACTTATTCCGTAAGTGGCGCGAAGATAATGAACGTCGTAGCGATGAGGTGATTCATTTGTGGGAAACAGTATTGGATGAAAAACAGCATAAATTAGACAGCGAACGACACTTGGTGCTTGAACAAGTGATCATAGCCGCATTAGACTGTAATCGAATCAAAATCGCTGAACAATGTATACGTAAACTATCGATTGAATTTCCGGGCAGTTTACGTGTACAAAAATTCAAAGCCATGCGACTTGAGGCGTTGGAAATGTTCGACGAAGCGTTAGACGTATTAAATGCGATCATTGCACAGGATGAAACAAATGCGGCGCCCAGAAAGCGAAAAATTGCCATTTACAAAGCCAAAGGCAAAAATACCGATGCAATCCGTGAATTGTGCGAGTACACAAAATTGTATGTGGAACGAGTAACTCTTTCATTTGGGATTTTGTGGAAAGAATGCGAAACAAATAAATGGTTTTCTTTGCATTCTTTTTTAGGTTTATGTCCGACCAAGAGGCATGGCATGAACTGTGCAATTTGTACATGGCCGAGGGAGAGTTCGCCAAAGCGGCATTCTGTATGGAAGAACTATTGCTACATAATCCACACAGCCATTTGTACCATCAACGTCTCGCTGAAATTCGTTACACAATGGTTAGTTGGTCCCGATCATTTCACATGAAAAATCGATTTTCTCTCTCTATTAAAACCAAAAATCGTTGTTTTTTTCCACAGGGTGGCCTAGAAAATATCGAGTTGGCTAAAACATATTATTCGCAAGCGGTGAAATTGAATCCAAATAATTTACGCGCATTATATGGACTCTATTTGGTACCTAAGATTTTAATTTTGGTTGCAATAATAATGAATGTACTCTTGTCGAATGATTATAATTTTTTTCAATTTTCAGTGCTATAATCATTCGAACAATATTACTTGTAAATCAATACTCAATTTTAATTTTAATTTGATTTCTCATAAATTAACACCAATTTGGTACTCAATTTGTTTTTGCAGTGTTGCAATCAAATCAGTGGCTCGAGATCAACGGTGAATAAGCGAAAAGATGCGCAAAAATTGGCACAATTGATTTTAACAAAAATTCAGGCCAAATACAACAACGAAGCCGAAGATGACACCATCAACTGTGTATCGATACCAGCATTAGAAAATGCTTTCGGGAATCTTGACATCAAATCCAACTAGTTGCCAATTTCTATAGATTGATGGTGAACAAAAATGAGTTACGAGCACACATCCATAGTGTGGATTCCATACCAATCAAATGCATCCCCCCCCCCCCCAAAAAAAAATACAAAAATGAATTACGAACGAATTGTCTAGTTTGTCATTAAAAATATTTTATAAATATTAAAATAATTTTGAGACCAAAATCACCTAGCGAAATGCGTATCAACCGAATAAACGAACAAATGGTTTCAGTTTTTATGGAAAAAATGGAGAAGTGGCGCCAATTCAATGGATGAATATTGAACATCAATAATATTGAAGTCAACATTGTCTAGTTTTCATATAATGATTTCGCATGAACAACACAATCCATGAGTATTAAACAAAGTGAAAAAAAAATTAATTAGAATAATTGCAAACCGTAAAACTACAACAATTCCAATCAATTTTATTTTAAAATCATTTGTTTTTTCAATTAAATATTATTTATGACAGCATTTAAATTGAGAGTTGTTATTTATTGCTCATTGCACAATAATCCCGAAATAAGAGATAATCAAAATTGAGCGAAACTGGTGTCGATATTTTTTCTTCCTCTGAGCATATCCCGTGATTGATAATCACTTCAACTTCAACATGATATTCCATTCAGCTTTTTAAAACGAGCACGAACAAATGCACGCCCACTTCCCAACGATAAACAAACTTTTCTGTGTTTAAAAGGCAAACACAAGCCAATCGATAACAACATTTTATAGAAATAATTGTGTGATAAAGTGGCGATGCATTCGAAAAGGGAATTTGTTTAACATCAGTTGACAACACTTTAGTTTTTTTTCCTCCCAATAGTTTCATTTGCATAAGTATTGTATTCACACTACCGTTTGGAATTGCATCGGTAGGGATTATTTGGTGTAACTGTGCTACAACGATTTTAAATGAACTTTTTTCTAGGAAAATGGACGAAATTCCCGTTGAAAATCTTCACCTGGCTGAGACCACTGAAAATGATCTCGTTTCAAGGGAAACGGAACAACAGTAAGTTGTTAGATGCACACACTAAAAACAATCACTTCAAAAAAAAAAACACACACACCATTTGTTTGAATCACGTTTGAGTGTCGGCCACAAGTACTTGTTTAAGCTGTGCAACATATATATCATCAACGTAGTTCATTTTGAATTATTATTTTTTTTTTTGTTTCGGCTTCATTCAAACGAAAGAGCGGAAAAAAAGAACAGGGCAATAGCCGTTCAATCGAAATGTCAATCTGAGCCATATTTATTGAATACATCGTATTGACACACACACACAGCATATAAATATTTTAAAATGAAGAAGAAACAAGCACATGAGTAATACTGATTTGGTGACGGAGAATGACTATAAAATACGAATTTTTTGTGAGATAAAAGAGAGAAAGAGAAAAAAGGTCATAAATGATAACTAATTTAGACAAGACGCATAGCGATAATTTGCATGCTGAAAATGTACAGTTGTACACACCCCATATGCAAGCTTAAAAGACGCCATTCAAGAGATTTCAACATGTAAACACACAATTATTTTTCGTTTCTCTTGTCGACAATCAATCGAGTGGGGCAAAAGTACAGCTGTCGAGTGATATAAATCGTATTGAGGATGCATTTTAGTCGATTTAACAGTTTAGTAAATGTTGTGCACTCTCAATTCGAAAATTGTGCGTTTATCAAACAATTGGGTCGTTAACAACAGCTTAATATATCATTTATTTTCGTTTCGTTTCCAAGATTATTACAGTTGAAGACGATTTTGGCCAATAGCAGTTACCACATAGATGGCATTCCCTCGAAATCGGCAGATAGCGACGATTTTATCTTGGAAGAATTGATGGCGTGCTCGTTTTGGTCAAAACAAGACCAATCCAATTTGTGTGACAGGTTTTATTTCTCAGTTGAAGACTGCGAATTTATTACTTTTTCTCCATCTTCATAGTGTGGTTCGTGTTTTCAACGAACATTTCTATCGATATTCCAGTGATTTTGCGTGCAAAGAGGAGGATGGACGAATCTCATTGGCCTATGAACGATTACAAGGAATTCCACGAAAAATTGCGGAAAAGTTTGCTTTGCGTACGCATACACTCGATCTAAGTTACAACAGCATTAAGTAAGTTAACTAACACGTACATATCAATCATCGCTGTTACCAATTCCTTAACTAATGATGTTGCAAAACTATGCTCTCTCTCTCTCTCTCTCTCTTTATCTCTATCCATCACTTTCTATCTATCTCTCTGTCTCTATTACGTTATGGTCACGGTGCTATGCTCAGAGATCTCACGTTTTTATCGAATTTCAAAATCCTGCACACTCTAATACTTGACAATAATGTTGCGTTGAACGAAAAGACATTACCGTTTTTGCCGTCGTTGCGAATTTTGTGGCTCAACAAATGCGAGATATGCCAATTGCCCAAGTGGGTGCAACGAATCAACATTTGTACGCCAAACATACGACAATTATCGCTGATGGGCAATCCTGGGGTAAGGTCATCATTCAATGGAGGTTCAACACTCGAAAATAATGATTATATGTGAGTGACTGCTTTTTGTTTATGTAAACCGAGCGTTGATTTGGGCTCTTATACGGAATTTTACATTTGGCTGTTATATCGACATTTAATTGCAGGATGTATGTGATTGGAAGTTTACCAAAGTTGGACTATTTGGACGATGTCAAAATAACGGACTGTCAACGTAAAATGGCCAGAGCACACACCCGATTACTGGCTTGGAACGGAGCATCCATTAATTTTGGTGAGAACTATTCTAGTGGAACGAGCATGATGACAATTTTGAAACATGATGCTAAGGCTGGTCGACGTTACGGAAAACTTGTGCCCAAACAAAATGGTTCAAAGTTTGATCGGCTTTGAAAATTGGTAATGTCCAAGCTGAAAGTCTTCAATCTCGGTTATATATATATGTTTTTGTCTACGATAAGAATTTGAATAAAATGTAAACATTTTTAGTCATGAAAATGGAAAAGAAAAATGCTTTTAATATGGATACCTGTGGTGATGCTTAACGTATAAAATGATATTCGATCATTTGGTCAAGTTCAAGATTACGATAAAAGAAAAAAAAACGAATTGAAATCGATAGCAGCAATTCGAGTGAGATAAACTCGATTTTTATCAATATTCGATAGTGATTGATAAGTCTATATCGCAACACAAAACACGTAACGTAAGTGTCAGAGACACATGGATGTCATGCCGTTTTCAAGTCCGCTACATCCGTCACACACACACACACACATAGAGAGAGAGAGAGAGAGAGAGAGAGAGAGAGAGAGAGAGAGAGGGAGAGAGAGACCATTTGTATACATTTCAAGTGAACTGTGCGGCATAATGGGTCCCATGAAGCAGAAAATCATGCGTTATCTTCATATCATAATAAATATTTTCTTTCGTTTGATTTTCTTCAGGTAGTTGAACAAAGAAGGGCACACTGATAACGATGACGCACCATATATTTAAAACCATTACGCATAAAAACGGATATGTGGGTGCCGGAGCATACGGTGGAAGGGATTTACTCGGTTGCGAATGAACTCTGCTAAAACAAACAAGAGCAACGCTCTTTGTGCATATGTGTGTGAGTGCCGAGATAACGGGGCATATATGGTTCTAGTAACATATCAAAAAGTCTTTAATTAACTCAAAATGATACCTTTTTGAATAGAATTCCACATTTTATATATCATGCTAATATACTGACATTGTATCGCCTCTGTGTACCTTTTGACCTTTTGCCACGTAAAACTGATACAATTCGATTGGCAACGTTTCATTTTAGTAGCAAAGTTAATTAATTATTGAAAAAAATGGAACAATTAAAGCGAACCAGTTGACGAAGCCATCGTAAATAAAGTATGGTATGGCTTCTTTTCAAATCAAATTCGACAACCAAGGTCATTGAAGGATGACAAAGAGAAACAGCGATGGTAAAGATGTTTCACATCAACAAATGAATTCATTCGACCGTTACTCTATGTTCACAAATGGCGCATGCATAGTTTTTCGGTTACCATACATATTCTCATATCCACTTGCGCAATATAAATTGTGTGTGCATTTGTGGCAAAATACAAATTTTGTTGGATTGTAGGTAATAGGATTTTAATTGAATCAATGCATGTTGCAAAATCGCCTCACTATCATTCACAACATAACAAATATTGAGGTAGATTTCAATTGAAAATTGCAACATACCATTTATGGGCAGCGTTGAATTTAACTGTATTAAACATTTTTCAACATTTCGTACATCAAACAACAAACTTTGAAAAGTGATTGGATTTATTAGATTGTGAATGAAAAACGATAAACTCTGCCGAAACAAACAAGAGTTATGCTCGTTGTGTTGTGTTTTGTGTAAATATGTATCGTCTAAGAAAAAGAAATAAACATAGTTTTAGTAAGACCATAGTTAAAATCAAAAAGTCTTCAACTGTCTCAAAATGATAGGATTTCAAAATATACAACGCGTGATCATTATGCTAACATTTTGAATGGATCAGTAGTCTATTTCACCAAATGTTTTCATGAGATTTTCTTCTCAAGCATTTTTGGTCAAACAAATATATCTAAATGTAGCAATGAGAAAATCTCAATAAAAACGTGAAAATATTCTCATTTTTTGACATTATTTTGAGCGCCAACTTGAAATTTCGAGATTTTTTCACAAAAATGTGAGATCACATCATGGTTGGCTCAAAAATAAATGAAAATTTAAAATTTGCGCTCGAAATAATGTCAAAAAATGAGAATATTTTCACGTTTCTATTGAGATTTAGATACATTTGTTTCACCAAAAAAACTTGAGAAGAAAATCTCATGAAAACTTGTCATGAAAACATTTGGTGAAATAGGCTGCATTATCACTGACATTGCATCACCGCTGTGCTCATCATCTCATTCACTCAATACAATAAATAAAGAACAATGCGATTTTTTGCTTGAGTTCAACGTATCACCTTAGCACCAAGACAAATGAATAATTAAAAAATGAAGCAAATAAAACGGACAAGTTGGAGAAGCCAATTTAAATAAAATATGAGATTTTGATACGAAATTGGGGTAATACTTTATGTTCGTTTCTGACTGAAAATCACTTTGCTATAATTATCCATGATCAAAAAGTGGCTCATCGCATAATTGTATTATGATGTATGAAATTTTGAGTAAAGCTCAAAAAAGCCATTTGCCGGTAAACGATAAACGTGATCAACAGCGTCGTATTTCAGTAACTAATAACCTTGCTAACAATCTATAACAATGAATGGAAAAAGAATTGACTATGAATAATTTACGAGATATCCGTGGAAGATTATTATTTTGCTGAAAAATGCCAAATTATAAATTGAACAGCGTCTTCTGCAACAAGACTCACTTTCCCGTATGATTGATTTGTTATGCCGCACCAAATTACAGTCTCAACCATACCTAAGTACCTTCTCATTAAAAATCGGTCCAAAGTAAATGCTGCAGCATAAATTTATCGTGGTATGTTCGTATACAACGTTGAGATTGTTTGCTTTATACACATAGATTTATCGTATGCGTTGAGATTGAATCACATGGAAAATGCCATCCAAAAAATTGTGTGTGCAATTTCAAGCAAAACCTGCAAACAAAGCAAAAATCGCTAAGGTTCCTTACGCCCGCTTCAGTTCTTGTGCTCTCTATCCACTTGATACATGAGTTTATTTGAGAGATTGGCCAAAATCAAAGGTAAAGAGAGAGAGAGAGAGAGAGAGAGAGAGAGAGAGAGAGAAACACATCGAATTACTTATTGAAATAACCGAATGAATTTGCCAACAGCTGTTTTACGTCAGCAAATAATTGGATCCGTAACGCTTCCAAAAAAATCAAAGCAATCAATAGGTAAAATATTTTTCCAGATTGATTTATTGCAAAATGTTGAATGCTCTTAAATGATTCAATTCTTAGAATTTTGCATATGAATGTCCGAGAATGAAAACGCAACTTCTTATCACAACACATATAAGTGAAACAAAAATAAAAAATTTATTGAAATGAAACAACACAATCGAATTTTTTCAAAGTGTAACAACAAAAAAGATTTTTTTAAAGTGTAACATCGTTATGTTATTACACTTACTACATACCGATGTTACACTTTAAGAAAATCTTTTTTGTTGTTACACTTTGAAAAAATTCGATTGTGTTGTTTCATTTCAATAATTTTTTTTTTTTGTTTCACTTATATGTGTTGTGAATAGAAGTTGCGTTTTCATTCTCGGACATTCATATCATCCATCACTGAAAAATCAAAATCGATCAAGTTACGAAATAAATCAGTGTTGCCGGAAAATTGGACGGCGCTTTTGTATGTTGATGTGGAGATAATTTTCGTTGTTGTTGTTGTTGTTGTTGTTTTTGTTCGACAATAGCTAGCCCAAACAATTTTCAAATGGAGCCGGAATCTCTCTCTTTCTCTCTTTTTCTTCTTTCGGCAAGAGTAAATTTTCTGCGAAAATTGGGAAAATCACCTGCAAAAGTTAGTACTTTTACAGATCACTAGCGCTGGCTGCCAAACTTACTCACCGATTTCATTTCTATCCACTTCTCTTGTTGAATCAAGCAGTTTCGCATCATCTTATTTAGATGGCGTCGATCCCTCGCTGTCACTGTGTCTACTCAAAACACAGCTCCCACACACATACATACACCCACAAAACACCAAAATCGATAATCTTTTTGTAATTATTTTCCTTTTGTTTCGCTTGCAACATGCACAAATGCCATTTTCAGCAAAAACTTTTACAGTTCGATTACATTAGTTTTTGAAGCGAAGCAAGAAAGATGAGGAAAAAATTGATTGGCTTGCAATAGTTGGGAAGATTGCAAGGAGTTTTGTGTAACAAGGAGTTTGCGATCGAAGTTTCGTCAATATATTGGTCTGTTGATGCTAGGTTCAATCCGCGAGTAATGAAATGCCTGATTTTGGGACATTTTAATGGAAAAATTTATGGCTGCCTGTTCACAACATGTTTCAGTTTTTTTTTTCGTTGAGCTCAATGCTCTGCACTAAAAATGAAACATCGATATAATGGATATGATACGTCATTAAGGATGTAAATTACTTGTCACTCGACTTGAATGAATTATCCATATTTTAATCGAATGTACATCATACATTATCAAGCAATTTCAATATATTTATTTTAATTACAGCATGTTTGTATTGACAATGTCAAATAATAATTAATAATTGATTGATTATTATTATTATTTGATTTCATAAGCGGATGTGTGTGTGTGTGTGTGTGTGTGTGCACTGTGCACTGTGCAGTTGAATACCCCGTCAGCGCAGTATAAATACTTCTGGGAAAAATATCGTTCGACTGTAAAGTTGAATGCACGCTTGATTCATCTGCATGAAAGTATTCGCCATAAAAAAAATGAAATGTTCAAATGGTATTCAAATCCTCGCTAATTTGAAAATTAATCAGATTGCGGAACCACAATTTACCAAAGCCACACCACCGACCAACATGCGAAAAATGAGGGAATAAAAATTAAAGAAAATTTAATTTACATTTAAATTAGCCGAACTTTGAACGTTGCGCGTTTACTTTTCTCTTTTTTTCTCTCGTTGATTTAACTTTTTATATTTTTCGTTAAAAATGTCGTTCATTGCGGAGTCAGACCACCTTGAATTCACCCACCCATAATAGAACTATTTTCGCTATCCGTGTCTTCTCAATTTGTTCGCATTTTCGATGTGTTATGGAGCAAAAAAGTGACAGAGAAATGTTTTGAATACACTGTCATAAAAGAGAAAAAGTTTTCAAGTGAAACGGTGAAAAAATGAGATAAAGAAATATGAAATAAGGGAAAATAAACAAATGTGTGCACTCCGGAATATTAAATTTCCATTTACGATAACAGCACGCTGCTACAGAGGAAAAAGTGAGAAAGGAGAGAAAAATTTTTTGACGCAAACACTTG